GTCAGCAGCCGCAACAAAGGCAGAGTGTGGGGAGGACGAGGGGGTGACCCAGCCAGCACAGGCCCCGAGATCACATCCACAGTGGGGGTCTCTCCCCCGCCTGGGCTCACGCACCTCGGCTCCCTTCGCCGCCCCTGGCCTCTGGCTCCCTAGTGTGCAGCACCTTGGGGCTGCTGGCGAAGACGCAGGTGGGGTGCAGCACGGCGCCCTGCTTGGCCTGTGTGTGGAAAATCTGCAGAGACCAGAGGCGGGCGCGGGTCACAGAGCCCCTTGGACTGCTCTTCCCACTGCCCGCAATGCTTCTCCTCCACTCTCTGGGCCAGGGTCCCCCGGTATGTCTCAACTCAGAAATCCCCTCCTCCAGGAAGCCCTCCGTGCCCCCCTCCCAGGCTGGTCAGGAGCCCCCACTGAGCTCCTTCCACCCCACTCCCCCACCCCGGGTTCCTCCACTCTGTGTCTTCTTTATTTGGTGATGGCACAGATCAGGGCCTCAGGGTACGTTTGTTGAATGAATGAAGGAAGGCAGGCAGGAATAGATGCTACACTAAGGAGTTTGGACCTTGTCTAGAGGGCACTGGGGGACCATGGAGGGGAGTGACAAGGTCAGGTCCGGACACGCTCCAGGTGCCCCCTCAAGCTGGGGCCTCTGAACACACTGGGCCCGTGAATGTGGAGACGGGCTGCTCCCCAGTCAGGCCTGGGCTGTCTGCGGAGGGCTCGGGGTCCTCCCTGGGGTGGGGTGGGGGCGCAAGGAGGAGCCACAGCCTCAGGGAGGCCCTGATCCCAGCAGAATGATAGCCAGCTGGGGCGGCCCCCCGGCCTCACCTGCACCCAGGCGTTGAAGACATTGAAGAGCATGGAGGGGTCGCCCTGGCTGCTCCCAGGGGCCCCAGCTTGGACACGGAGCCCTGGGCAGCATCTTCCCCGGGGCAGGGACCAGGCAGAGGCTGGGCCTCCTGGCCTCTCAGAAGTTGCTCGTGCTCTGTGCTAAGTTGCATGACCTCAAGCGAGTGCCTCACTTTACCCCTCTGGAAAATGGGACAAGCACAGCTCCTGCCTCTTGGGGCCCAAAGTAGGTGCGACGTAGGTGCTGGCTGCTTTTATTAATAACACAGCTGCCTTCCCTGCCCTATTTCCACACTCCCATCTCCCTCCTGGCCTCATTTTCGTCCCAGCACTCGCTAGGCCCTCATGGGATGCCTGTTCACTTCCGTTGCCTGTGTCCACTTCCCGGCTATAATGTGGGCCCCGGGAGGCGGGCACCCCTGTCTGTTCGCCGCAGGTCCCCCGGGCCTGGCCATGGGCCACTGTGAGGCTGGGAGTGGGAGAGTCAGCGTGTGTGTAGCTGGGCTGCAGCGTGTCTGTCCGGGTGTGTCTCTGTGGCGTGGTGCGGCTCTGTGCGTGTCGTGTGCTGTGATGTCCAGATGCATCCAAGCCAGAGTGTGTGTGGGAGTGTGGCCGGGCTAGGCTGTTAGTTAATGTTGTTGTTGTTGTGTGTGTGTGTGTGTGTGTGTGTGGCTGCACCGTTGTGTGCCAACGTCTGCCTCCCACTGCAGCAATGGGGTCGTATGGTCTCGCTGTGTGCCTCATCCCTGGCATGACGGGGTGTGCTGTTGTTACCGTCTTATTGTGCGGCTTTGTCTCTTGGGGGCGGGTGGAGTTGTGCGCTGCCGAGTGTGTACGTGTGCCACAGTGGGCATGACTGCTCGTGTCTGTGTGCGTGGCTGTGCCGCTGTGTGTTCCCGCCCATGACCGTATCCAAGTGCGTGCTTGGTATGTCCTTGCGCGTCCCCGTGAGCTGGATCTCAGGGTGCGCTGTCGTGCCTCCGGCTGGATACGTGTGTGTTGTGTTGTTGTGTGGTGGGGGGGCAGCTGGGTGTCCCACCATGTGGCCAGCTAGAGGTGGCTGCCGTGCTGTGTTGTGCGTTTGCAGCTGTGTCGTCGTGACACTGGTTGGGTGTGGGCTGGGCTGTCGTACGTGAAGAGCCTGGTGTGCTTTCGTGTTGTTGATGGCAGAACGGAGGTGTGCGCTGTTGTGTTGCGTCTCTGGCTGGGTTGTGGTTTGTGTGGACGTGCAATTGCGTAGCCAGATAACGGTGAGCGCTGTGTGTTTCCATGCTTCTGTGTGTGTGTGTGTGTGTGTGTGTGTGTGTGTGAGAGAGGGAGAGCAAGGGATGGATTCCCAGCCTGAGAGTCATTGCTCATCCCTCCGGCCTCCCCCACTTCTGGACAAGAGACCCCTTTGTTCCCAGTGGCAGAAGGGGGGTGTCCTCCCTCTCGAGGCCCTGGCAAGGTCTCAGCTCTGAGCCTCATCAACACAACATCCTCTGAGCTTCTGCCCTGTGCCCGGCCACCTGCTGGGGGTCGTGGTGCTGGGGGCGTCGGCCGGGGCACCAGACCTCTGACAACCTGAGTGGTCGGGACAGCGATGGGTGAGCCCCGAGGGGACTCTGGCCCAACCCGAGTGGCTCGAGAGGCCTTCTTTGAGGACGGTATTCTTACAAGATAATTTTGGGGAAATCGTGACTTATCCGGATCTAAAAGTGACCGCGTGTTATTTGACTTAACCTGGGTGAAAGGTTACAGTCAGCTCACAGGAGAATCGAAGAACAGAGTCGTGGGTCAGGAATATTGGAACGAACAGGCAAACAGAGGCAAAACATTTGGGAGGGTTCCTCTCATCTGAATGGTTGTGGCCCCCCCAAATCCAGATGTTGAAATCTTAGCCCCCAAAGGAGATGGTATTAGCAGGGGGGCCCTGGGAGGTGCTTAAGTTTAGAGGATGGAGTCTTCGAGAAGGGGATTAGTGCCTTATAAAGGATGGTTCAGAGAGACTCCAGCCCCTTCCATCAGGAGGATACAGTGAGAAGGGGCCGGCTATGAACCCAGGAGAGGTCCTCACCCGACCACGCTGGCACCTCCATCTTGGACTCCCAGCCTCCCGGACTGTGAGCCATGAATTTCTGTTGTTTACAGGCACCCAATCTGTGGGGTTTTGTTTCAGCAGCCGGAACAGACGCAGACGGGGGCAGAGAGTGGTCCCCCTTCCAGACAGCATTCATTCGTGTGTCTGTAGAAAAGAATTATTTCGCGTTGCCATCACCTACCTACAATCTACGGAGTTGCAAGATGGATCCTATAGAATTGGATAATTCTGAATGATGGTGTTCTGGGTCGAATTGTGTCCCACCCCAAATTAATATGTTCAAGTCCTGACCCCCAGTATCTGAGAAGACAGGCTCATTAGGAAATAGGGTCGTTGCAGATGAAATCAGCTGAGAGGGGACCCTACTGGAATAGGGTGGGCCGTGTTCCAACATGATTAGTGTCCTCATAAAACGGGGAAATTTGCACACAGACACTCACGCTGGGAGAGTGCTGTGTGAAGATGAAGGCAGAGATCGAGGTGATGCATTTAGGAGCCAAGGAACGCCAAAGATGGCCAGCAAACCACCAGCAGCTGAGAGAGACGCCCAGAACGGACTCTTTCCTGCAGCCCGGGAAGGAACCAGCTCTGCTGACCCCTTGATCTCGGATTTCTGGCCCCTAGAACCGTGAGAGAAATTTCTGCGGTTTAAGCCACTCAGTTTACGGTGCTTTGTGACAACGGCCCTAGCCAACTAATACAGATACAACACGGAGAAGGCAGAGTTTCCCACCGAAGCACAAAATTTTCCCTACAATACGTTGGAGCTGATTCTTGGAGGAAGAGCAGGAATCAGGCAGCAGGAGAGCGTCGAGACAGCATGTGCAAAGGTCCAGAGGTAGAAAGTGGGTGGGGTCGGTGATGAGATTGTTCGGCAAGGGCACCGAGAGAACGGGCAAGCAGGGAGGGACCAGGCTGGGGCAGAGGATGCTAAGGTTTGGATTTTTGCTCGGGGGAGCTCTGTAAACCCCTGAAAGGGACCTCTATTTATGGGGCATTGACTGCCCCCAGCCCCTCAGTGCTCTACATACAGGCTCATTACACCCTCCCGAGACTCCTGGGGGTCAGAAGCCACACAGCCAGCCACAGAGGTGGAGCGGGCCTTGAACCTCGTCCGCCACCTGCGCTGAGGGATCCCGCAGGTGAGGACCAAGGAGGTGAAGACAGAGGCCGGGGAAGGGAAACTTCCGGGCAGAGTTCATCTTCACTGAGCTGACTGCTGTGCCAGACGCTGTTCTCGTTCTTTCCACGTGTAGGAGCTCATTTCGCGCTCACATCAGCCTCCCAGGGAAGCACTATTTTCACGTCGCTTCATATCCTTGCCACCACCGACCCAATCGCTCCCACGAAAGAAGGGGCTTTGTTTATTTTTTCATCAATAAATGCGGGGAACTACCGCAGCGGGGGGGGGGCGGGGGGGGCGCAGTGTATTCCCTGAAGGCCATGCGGCCCTAAGCCCCTGACTCAGCAGCCAGCTTCCAGCACTTTCCAAGAACCGCTTCTCTGGGAGGCGCAAAGGAGGGACCGCAAAGGCGATCAGGCGGCGCCCGGATCCAGCTGCCAGGCCTTAAGAAGGCAGCTGGGGTCCCTGGAGCGCTACCGGCGACCTCAGCTCCATGCACCAGCCCGTGCGCACTCCGCATCCTTTCGAACGCGCCCCTCCCGCACTCTCCGGGGAGGAGAGGGGCTCAGGGTCGCCCCCTCCCGGCCCCGCTGTAAACCCACCCCCGACGCCTGCAATTCCGTTTCCACCCTGGAACCGCGGGCCCTGAGCCCCGCCCCACGAGGCCATACCATTCGTGCCCGGAGGGGGATCCGGGCGGGGGCGCGCAGGGGCTTCCCCCGGGGACTCCCTCCGCCGGGGGGCTCCCCGGACCCACTGGGGCAGAGGACGGCGGTTTGCATGATGGGCTCAGATGGCGGGCCGCAGGGCCCCTCTTCCCCCGCTGTGGGCCTTTCTCTCCTCCATCCCACCCCCGACGTTGGTTCGCGCCCCGGATGCCCAGGAATGGACTTTGCGCGGACGTTCGCCCCGGGCGCAGACCTCGCGCGTCCCCGCCGGAGGTCGGTCGTCGTCCGCGCTGTGGGCGTCGTCGCGATCCCGAACCATGGCGCTCGCCGTCCGAGTCGTTTATTGGTGAGCACCACGGCCGGAGACCCCCGCCCCCCGCCCCGCGCCCGGACCGTCCCCACCCTCCGTCCCCACGGAGCTGGGCGCCGGGGTGTCCGGGGCAGGACCCGTGGGCGTCCCTCCACGGGGAAGGCGATCCCCTGTGGCTGGGGTGGCGTGAGGAGGGGCGAAGAGTAGAGGCCGGGGACCCCCCTCCCCAGTTTGTGACACCCCAGAAGTCTCCGATTACTGGAAAAAGGAGATCTGAGACACATGGGTGTCCATTTGGGACCCCCGACTCCGGGGCTCCGTTTGGGCGGCGGATGGGGGTCGGTTTGGTGATGAGAGAGGGCCCTCTGTGGGCCCTTAGGTTTCCCCTCCCCCAGGATCGTGAACAGTCACGGGGTGGGGACAGCGAGGCGAGGACGTTCGAGAACGTTCCGGCGTGTGTTTTGGAAAGGACTTGGGCGAATACAATGGGTGCCCCTAGCGACTAGCCATCCTCCCTTTTTGGCCTCAGTTTCCCCATCTGTAGAGGGAGAGAGAGAGATCTTAATAGTTACCGCGAATGGAGTGCTGTGTGTCGCTACTAAACGTGTTTGATCGAATTAATTCCCCGGCTGGGGTCAAAGCTGCAACAAAGCAGGGAATTTTTTTTTTTTTTTTCTGTTTTGCTGACCGCTCGGTTCCTCTGGCACCCGGGGCTCTGCTGGCCTGTTGGCGCCTGATAAATACACGTTCGGGGAATTTCTCCTCCCAGAAACCCTTCCAGGGAGGGTAATTTTTGCTCCACCCACCGGATGAGGAATCTGAGGCCCAGGGTGGGGCGGGGGCGCGTCAGGAGCTTGAGGTCCACACTGCAGGTGGCAGGGGTGACTCGACCCCGGGTCTGCTGTCTGTGGTGTCGGGCAGTGCCCCCGGGGCGAAAGCAGAAGGTGGAGTGACATTGGGTGGCCCCCCCAGGCCCGGGCGCCAGACTCCATCCCGAAATAGCCCCGCGTGGGGGTTGGGGAGGTGTTTGGACTCCATCCTCTGGACCAAGAGGCCTTGGGAGTCCGGGAGCAATGGTTTCCCTCGGAGTCTGCCCCTGCGAGTCTGCCCCTGCGGGTGCGGGTGCGGGTGGGTGGGCCCCGGGGAGTGGGTGAGGCTGCCATTCCTGCAGTTCTTGTCCTAACCCAGTGTCTGTTTCCCTCTGTCTCTCCTTCCCCCACCTGTCTCATGCTCGTGGGCTCTCCTTGTCGCCCCCCGTTGTCTGCGTGCGCCCCCTCACCATCTCGTCTCCCTTGCTCTGTGCCGGTGTCCGCCTCCTTCCTGGGTTCCTGTCTCCCCATCTCTGTGCGGCTCCCCAACCATCTGTGTGTCGGTTCTCTCCTCTCTCTCTCTCTCGCGTATTTCTCCCCTCGGTTTTGTCGTGTGTGCCCCTCTTGATCTCTTCCGGGCCCCCCTACACCCCCCGCCTGGTCTCTCCCCTCCTCTCCCCGGATGCCACCTGTCTCCACTCTCTTGGACTCTCTCCCACCAGTGGCGCTTGAGGCTACAAGCCCAAGGTAAGCGCAGAGGCTGCCCCGGGGGGTGTCGGAGGAGGAGGGCTAGCCCGGGAGGCCCCTGTTGACCCCTGTGGTGATCTCCACCCCTTTCAGTATCTTGCCCTCAAGAAGAAGCTGGAAGATGAGTTCCCCGGACGCCTGGACATCGTGAGTCTTGGGGACGGGGGAAGGAATGGGTCGCCTCGTGCATCCCTCAGCCCCGGATGGCAGGGGGTGGTGGTTTGGGTCAGCCTCACCCTTCCCTCATGTTCTCCATTCCCTGGGTGGGGGCGGTGTCCCCAAGAGGGCATCTGAGCCCCTTCAGTATCTCTCTCTCCCCACAGTGTGGCGAGGGGACCCCCCAGGTCACCGGCTTCTTTGAAGTGATGGTGGCAGGGAAGTTGGTTCACTCCAAGAAGGTATGTCTGTCTGTCCATCCCGCCTCGTCCTGGAGCTGGAGAGGGCTTGGGGCTGGCACTGGTGTCTTGGTGCCGGCTCACCACTTCCTTCTTCCTCCTGTCCCCAGGGAGGCGATGGCTACGTGGACACGGAGGTCAAGTTCCTGAAGCTGGTGGCCGCCATCAAGGCTGCCTTGGCTCAGGGCTGACGTGCCCGGAAGGCAGAGGTGAGGGGGCCCCCACTCTTAAACACGGGACCCTCCCTGGTTCCTGCAGGTGACTCCTGGTTCCCAATGTACTGAGAACCTAAGTAGTTTCCAGCCCATCACATTCCAGAACAAGTAGCAGTTTCCATATGACTCTGAGGATCGTCAGCCCCTTCTGAGCCTGAGTTCCAATTTTCAAGCCAATGAGCCAAACCCACCCTTTTCTAGAAATGGGCACCGGTTACCAGCCCGGTGCAGACCAAGTGCTAGGTCCTGACCTGGAGAACCCGGAAGCGCTTTCTGCCCTCTGATCGTGAGTGTCCGTTCCCAGCCCCCACGGGGTCCAGAACTGAGCACCCCATTCCAGTGAACCGTGGACCCGGGTACCTGTCCCCAGCGTGCTTTGCACCCAAAAGCTGGTTCTCAGACGCTTTAAAACTCAAGTTCCATTTCTTTGGGTCCTTTATGAGAGCAGAGCGAGGTCACCTGCAGGGTGAATTTGGACTTGCAAATTTGAAGTAACGCAGGACAAAAATACAAATGCCTTGCCTCACGTGCCGATCTGAAACGAAGTGAGTCTTCCCGAATTAAAAAAAAAACGAAATCAAGAATTGCATAATCTCAGAGCTGCAAGAGCTGAATAAAAGGCGGACTGTGCTGCAAGGGGCATGGGCTGCCACCCCGCTGCGATTTGAATTGTTAGTATTTTTTTTGGTTCTGCAAAGCCCCCGTACGTAGTTGTACATGTTCGCTGTGAATCGTTCTGGTTCTTCTGTGGGAGCCGCCGCCACAGCGTGGCAACTGATAGACGGGTGGTGTGGTTCCGAGATGAGAAGCAAACCGGGCCGCTGAAGCCATGAGCCCCAAACTTTAAGCGCTAGGCCGTCACGGCTGGCTCTGCAATTTTATTTATTTATTTATTTTTTGTGAGGAAGATTGGCCCTGAGCTAACTGCTGCCAATCCTCCTCTTTTTGCTGAGGAAGACTGGCCCTGAGCTAACATCCATGCCCATCTTCCTCTACTTTATATGTGGGATGTCTGCCACAGCATGGCATGCCAAGCAGTACATAGGTCTGCACCTGAGATCCAAACTGGCGAAACCCGGGCCGCCGAAGTGGAACGTGCGAACTTAACCGCTGCGCCACCAGGCCAGCCCCTGGCTCCGAATTCTTGAAGACTAAACCAAAGCATGTGCCCTCTGTAGCCCCACCGTTGGCCACTTTGAAACTGTCGGTAGCACAGAAGCATCTCCTTAATTGAGCACGAGCCTTACTTGGGTTCCAGAGAGAGCCGTCCGGGGACCATTTCATCCATCACAAGCAAAAATGAGATTTATATAAGAGAAAGGAGGGGGCATGTGTGTTTTGTGAGTGCAACTTCAGGAGGCCCCCAAACCCCCCTGCCCCCCGGCTCAGTGATTTGCTGGGAGGACCCTCAGGACTCAGCGAAGCTGTTCTCCCCGTGGGTACGGTTTATCGCAGCGAAAGGGCAGAGGTCAGAGTCCGCAAAGGGAGGAGGCAGCTGGGGCTGCGGCCTGGAGACCAGGCGCCCCCTCCCGGTTGTGTCTCCCCACGGAGTTGTGCAGACAGGTGCTTAATTCTCCCAGCAGTGATGTGTGAACACGTGAACAGAGTGTCGCCAGCCTGGGAAGCTGCTGTCTCGGGTTTTCAGTGGGGCTCGTCACAGAGGCGTGGCTGACCTCCCTGGAGATAAGAGCGGCGGCCACGTGGCCCAAGGCCCCACTGTCAGTCACACTGTTAGCACAGAGTATCCGGTGTGGGGGTGGCCCCAGGTGGACCGAGACGCTCTTAGCAGGCAGGCCATGCCCAGGGCTTAGGGTTACTCCAGGAGCTGGGCAAGGGCACCCTGGGTCCGGGCAGGCTCCGTCCTCTTATGCACAGTAGGTGCTCACCGTTTGGTGACCAGCAGAGAGGTCTGTGTGGGGCGCTCTGAGCTGGAGTGGGCTGACCGGGGCATCAGAGAAACCAGTTTCACCTGTCGTCGGCTTCTGTGGGGGTCAGTTCCCCGTGGGCCAGATGCGTCAGGCTCTCTGTAAGATCTGCTGGTGGCTGCCCATCAGCCCTCGGTCTGCCTCGTTTTTCTCATCAGAGTTTCTCACGACAGACTGGACAGGGAACCAAGCCTTAGCCCACCCGCCTTGCTTGGTTACACTTCTCCTGCACAGGTGCCCTATTTTCCTTGTGCCTCAGTTTCTCCCCGGGACGGCATTTCCCCTGCTCGCTCTGATCCCTTTCTTTATCACAGGAGCCCTCCCAGCCTCTCTCCATCCAAGCTGACCCCTCTCCCACCTCTTGTCTCTGCAGTCCAGCGGCCTTGGCCCGGCCCCCTCGGCACCTGCTTCATGACAGGAAGGGCTGAAATGTCCCCAGGACGCCTGGTCCTTCCCTGAGGTTCTCGCGGACACCGAGCGGGGCAGAGATTGACGCCCCTGGGCTTTGCCTGTGTGTGTGTGTGAGTGTGTGCGCCTGTCCCCGGGAGTCTGGCTTTGCACACTGGTCCTGCTCCTTCCTCTCCCCGACCCTTCCCCGTCCCCTGCCTCCCCCGGGTGTCCCTGTCCTCCGTCTGGTGTGTGGGATGGTCCCGCTCCAGGCCCCCTTCTCAAGGGGGAGCTGAGAGAGGGACCCGGATGAGTGGGTCTCAGAATTCAGAACGTTTGCAACGGTTTGTGATTCAGTAAACATCAGGTGACTTGAACAAAACGCGCCTGTGTCTGCGTGCGTCCCTTTCCCCTGGAACAACCTCGTGGGTCCCCAGTCCAGGAAATGAGCCACAAGGTCTGGTGCCCCGCATGCTGCGCGCTTGCTAATAAATGAGTGTTTATGGCAGCTCTGAGCTTCCGAAGACGGGCAAACACGCAGGGGAGATGGACTCCAGCTCTTTTGTTCAGATGAGTCTTGCCCTGGCCCCACGTTCACCGACACTGGGCGGCCTTATCTTCAGGGACAGTCACATTCTGATTCCTGGGGGCCAGGGGTTCCACATAGGAACTTGAGGGGGGCACATCATTGAGCCCAGAAGGACACCACCCCCATGGAGGGCTGGCTCTACACCCCTCCCCCTGCATGCAGGTGGGCTGTCATCTCCCCAGCGAAACGGGGCAGACGTGGTGCCATGATGGGTCCCAGGCTGGAGGGGGGGTGAGCCACACAGCTCCCTGGGCTTCCCAGCGCTCTTGTCGCATGAGCCCCCCCAGGACCACCAGGCTCAGTTGAGAAGCACACGGTTCTCAAGGCGACAGAAGCACCATAGAGCGCTTTTCAAGCCTTTGCGCACGTCACCCCTCACGTTCCATCGGCTGTAAAAGCTGGTCACACGGTGAACCCAAAGTCGAGGGGTCGTGGGCTGGGCTAACGTCGTCCCCATCTTTGGTGGGAGGTGTTGCAAAGCCTCATGGGAGGGGTGAGGCGTGGGGACCTTTAATGGGGTCAGCGGCAGGGCCTGGGTGGTCTGACCTCGGGTCTCTGACCCAAGTCTTGTCCTGCTGAAGATTTTCTTGAATTCTTCCGGTTTCCTCATTTGTAACAGATCTGGAAGGCAGTTTTAACAAGGGTCGTTCCACTGGCTATATGTTAGATATAAACATTTTTAATTTTTATTAATTTTTTATGAGGAAGATTAGCCCTGAGTTAACTGCTGCCAATTCTCCTCTTTTTGCTGAGGAAGACTGGCCCTGAGCTCACATCCGTGCCCATCTTCCTCTACTTTATATGTGGGATGCCTGCCACAGCATGGCGTGCCAAGTGGTGCCGTGTCCGCACCTGGGATCCAAACCGGCGAACCCCGGGCCGGCCCCTATATTAACATTATTAATGTAGACAGAGCTGTAACTGTCACTCAGGGTTGAATTTCTAGTGCTCAGCGGGCCGGGGCCCAGGTGGTCTCCAGACAGCGCCTGGAGCTTCCCGTGCCCGTCGCTGCTGTGGGCCTGCAGGGTGAAGTGGTCCCTGATTCCTGTGTTCACGAAAAAACCCTGAGGCTGATGGAGGAAGGGGCTGGAAGGGTGGTGTGGTGGATTGCGTTTTTAGCCCCAGTGTTTCACCCCTTCACCCGTCTATGCCGTCCCCCCTTTTCAGTCCACCCACTGGAGGTGAGCAGCACCCCTCACCTCCTCACTTCGGGTGTGACCGCGTGGCCAATCGAATGAGGCAGAGTCACAGAGCACCGGTCCTGAGCCCGCGCCGCACGAGGCTCATGTTTCTGCCTGCGGGGGGACACTGGGAAGGGACTAGAAGCCTCACGGGCCCACTTAGTAATATTTCCTGTGACAAGACCACGAGAGCTACGGGGGGCTGGCCACCTCTGTCCTGCTCGGTACCAAAAAACCAGCCCATTTATTTTTTGAGAACTCCACTTTGACGTTTCACTATCCTGACTTATTCTGCATGATGTGGGCCGTGCTGATGTGGGTGAATCAGTGGGGTTTAGGAAGCTACCTTTCTGACCCATTTTATGACGGGCCGGTCCTGGTAGGCATTAATAAATGAGAAAGAGATCTTTCAGAAGTGCTTTCACGGAGGGCCATTTATAACTTACATGCATCTACTTGTCCTGAAAAAGTTGATTGAAATCACTAAAACATAAAATGTCACTTGTACAAAATGCACCAGAATATTTATAAAAGGCCCCCCAAACAGGAGGATGACATTATCTTTGCTGGGACACCTCTTACCCTCGTTGTGGGCTAACAAACTGGGACCTCTACCAATCCTGCTAGAAAAACTCCGGGAAAGATTGGAGCCAATGGACCAGCCCTAGTGACGCCCCAGTTCCCCACTCTGATAGTCTGGGCCCCACCATTGGGTGGCGTGAGTGTGTGAGGAATCCACTAGATGCTACGGGGAAGCATTTGGATGCAAAAGTCCCAGTCTTTGGGCTTCTTAGTTGAGACAGCTATGAAACCACGGCTGGAAGAGGCTGGTCAGTGGGCGAAGGTAAGAGGAAAAGTGACTGAGAACCAGAAAAACTTTCAGCGTTTTTTTTTTTTTTTTTTTTTTTTTTGGTGAGGAAGATTGGCCCTTAGCTAACATCTGTTGCCAATTTTCCTCTTTTTTTCCCCCCTCCCCCAAAGCCCCAGTGCATAGTTGTGTATCTAGGTCCTTCTAGTTCTGTGTGAGACGCTGCCTCAGCATGGCTCGAGGGACCAGGCTGGGGACTACAGTCTTCCCTCAGTCGGGAAGCAGAGGAGAGCTGGAAAAAATGGTGAGCGCTGGAAATATCCACCACGGCCTTTTGGTTTTAATTCTGCCTTATGCACCGAGGAGAAAGAGAAAGTGCCGTGACCCGATTGGGCTTAATCAAGACAGTTCACACCTTCAAGGAAAGAGACCTGAGCAAGAGCTTCACGTGCAGCGCGGACCGGGGACGCGGTGAATTCTTTTCCAATAGCGACACCACGTGGCCGACTGTGAGAACTGCATCTCCCCCGGTCACCAGGATCAATATGGGATCCCAGCGCATCCCAATGGAATCCCTTCCGGTGGTGGAGATTTAGTACAATCAGGTGAATCACCGGCTTTGGTTTGGTGACATGACACTTTTCAAAGAAAAAAGGAAGAGGGGAAAAAATACATCGTCTCTCTTTGGACCCCTACCGTTTAGTCTGTAACCTACCCCCGCTTCACTACTTGCTGGCTGTGGGACCTCAGACAGGTGACCTCACCTCTCTGGGTGAAGATTTGGTGAAGGGAGGAGGCGAGGGAGATGGAGGTGGGGGATCAAGGCAACCCCAGGCCGGGATCGGGCACGGCCGGGGTCATGTGCGAAATGAGAGGTTTGTCCTCGATGCCTCTGTAGCATCCGGACATCTTTCCTTCTGGACTCAACTGCTTTTTATGCCTCCCTGCCATTCCTCCCTTCTCTCCATCCAGGGACAAGACTGAGTCCTCCTCTCCCCTCAGCCCAACCCCTCAATGACTCCACTTTGTAGCATCTCATGACAGGCAGCTCCTGCCACATTTTTTTTTTTTAATTTTAAACTTCAAAGACATTTATTGCCAAGAAGTCTTGAGAGTGGTGGTCAGCTCAACAACATAATCAATCTTTTAGAATTTTTCCATCTTTCCATTCTCTCCTTTCTTCAGCTTGTTGGGTTTTTGTCTGCTTGGTTTTTGCCTCGTGGTGGCAAGAGGGCCACTGCAGCTCCAGGCATCACATCTGTGTTCAAAGCAGGAAGAAGGAGGAAGGCACCCTGCGAGTACTCCCTCCTTTTGTGCTTGTCCTCCTGCCATTTTAAAAAATTGAGGTAAAATACACCTGACTTAAATTTGTACCATTTGAACCATCTTAAAGTGTACCATCAATTCAGCAACATTTAATACATTCTCATTGTTATGCAACTATCACCACCGTCCAGTTCTAGAACGTTTCCTCACTCTGAAAAGAAACCCGGAATCCACGAAGCAGTCACTCCCTGTCCTCCCCTCCCCCAGCCCCTCGTAACCACGAATCCACTTTCTGTCTATGGATTTGCGTCTTCGGGGTATTTCACAGAAACGGAATCCACAGTGTGTGGTCTCATGTGGCGTCTTTCACTTGGCCCGATGTTTTCAAGTTTCGTCCATGTTTAGCTCATCCATTTTGTAGGATTCCCCCCATCGGAACTTATCTCCTGATTCAACTGGGGTTACAGCGTTTCTGGGGGAAGACCACAGAGGGCAAAAGTGCCATTTTCATCACGTCATCAAGGACGTGCACTTGGTCACCTGGAGGAAGTAGCGTTTGTCAAGTGTCTCTGCTACAGAGGTACCGGTTTCTCTTCCTTTCCGTGCTGTCCTCTTTGGAAGGAAGTCACTATGTGCAGCCGGTTCTGTGTTTCCATCCCCACTTTACAGCGGAGACTGCTGAGGCTCAGAGAGGTGTAGCGTCCTGCCCCAGGTCACACAGCGGACACCTGGTGCTGGGGATCTGGTCCAGCTCTGAATTACTCTATACTGCGGAGGCTCAGGGGGAGAGGGATCCAAAGAACGAGAGATGAGAGTCCAGGATGTAGGAGGAGGCAGAGAAGGGAGAGGGTCAGGAGGCGGATGAAGAAGAAGATGGGAACCTGGCAGGAGGTGAGAGACAGCTGGGGACTGGGTACCCGAACAAGAAGACAGGGAAGGGACGGGCAGGGTGGTAGAGGGGCCGAGAGAAGTGGAGGCAGAGAAAGGGGCCAGGAAAATTCCTTACCGGATGCTGTTACGACCCATCGCAATGGCGGGTACCATTTGTTGACCAATTACTCTGCTGAGGCTTGGCTAAGATTTTCATAATTGGACTCACTTAATCCTCCCCAAATTCCTCCTCCTCACCAACAAATCCTTCCTATTAAAAATCTAGACAGTTCTAAAAAATCCTCCCTTAAACTTTTTAATTGATGTTTAATTGACAATAAATAAAATGCACAGACAGCTCTTAGGCACTTAGTGTAATTGACTTGATAAATGGGTACAACCATGATGTCAGCACCCGTCACCCCAAAAAGTTCCCTGGGGCACCTTTGCGGCCTTTTCCTCTCCATCCCCCCGGTTGGCAACCCCTGAGCTGTTTTCTGCAACAAAAGATTAGTTTCACCTCTTCCAGAATTTCATGTAAATGAAATCACACCATCTACAGGCTCTCGTGTCTGGCTTCTATTACGCAATGTAAGGATTTTGAGATTCTGCCATATTATCGTGTATTCTCTGTATTTGTTTCTTTCTGTGCTGAGTGCACCCCACTG